CTTCATCTCAAGTACTTTACATACCCATTTCAAAGCCATTTTCAGAACCCTGACCTTTACATTTGACAGAGCAAGTTCAAGTTTTAGTTCAGCACTGGGCGTGCCGAGGGGGAGGAGAAGGAGCCTCTTGAAGAACTGCAGTTGGGATTTTTCAAGTGATTCTAGATGGCGAAGTCCTCAGATATGGGAAGCATACAGTAGGGTAGAGGCTACTATAACATCGTATATTCTGAGCGTGCCCTCCCAGGACTCGGCCCCGATGCTAGCCAGTGTGGAGATGACAGCTCCAGCAGCTATCTGAGCTTTTTGAGACGCCATCCTGGCCGCAGACAAGCCCAGCGACGAGCTCGTGAAGGGCACACCCAAGTACGTGTAACTATCCGTCCATTCAACCACATTGTCTCCATAGAGGAGTCTCGTCCTCCCCCTCGGGCCGCCTCTTTTGAAATATACACACTTGGTTTTATCAATGTTAACAGTGAAAGAGTTACGTGAGCAGTAATCATTTAATACAGAGAGTTTTCTTTTGAGATCAAAGATCGTGTTAGCAAGAATGACTGAGTCGTCTGCGTACAGGAGCATGATGAGTTTATAACTGCTATTGATTCGAGTCCTAGTGATGCCTTTGTCTTTAAAAAAGTCTACGATGTCGTGAATGTATAAAATAAACAATAACGGACTTAATATTTCGCCCTGTAGGACATCTTCCGTGACCTCGAACGACCCCGAGAGAGAGCCACCTACAGTGAATTGAAATAAAGAAGAATAATTGAAATAAGAAAAGTGAATTAAAACAAGAAAAATAAGTAAAATAGAAAAAGTAATCCAGAAAAAAAAGAATAATTGAAATAGAAATAACGAATTGAAACAAGAAAAATAAGTGAAATAGAAAAAGTAATCCAGAAAAAGGAGAATAATTGAAATAGAAATACTGAATTGAGATAAGGAAAATAAGTGAAATAAAAAAAAGGGAATCTAGAAAAAGAAGAATAATTGACGTAGAAAGAGTGATATAATTAGGAAAGTTATTGAAATAGGAAGAATTGAAGTAGAGTGCAATTAAGAAAATAAGGTAACTGGAATAAGAAAAGTAATTAAAACAAGTGTCTCCGAGGAAATTAGGAATTCAGTGAAACAAGAAAATAATTTGAAAAAGAGAGAGACAGGTCAAACAAGTGTCTCCAGAAAAGAAAAAATAAAGAAATAGAAGCAGCTACTACAAGAGGAGGAACACAAGCCACGCAGAGGATAAATTAGCGGCCAGCAGCAAAAGAAAACGTTACCAAAAGGGCTCCAAGGAAAAAGGAAGGTTGACCAATCATTCGGAAAGGGCACCGAAGAGCAGTAAATTTGCGTCCAAATCTTCAGGCGTCGCGGTAGGCAGCATAAGGACGGTAATGAAGACAGCTCGGACAATTAAAGGGGTCATAGAAAAGTTGCGACGAAATTTTGGGCATATCGAAGACTTCTCCGCAATATTAAATCGGTTAACAAAATTACTGCAGCAAGAGAATGAGAGCACAGCAAAATTCGGGGCACGATCAGAAAGTATGAGAAGCCAAGCAGCCAACAAAATTGGCAGGTGTAGATCAAGAGAGGACATAGTTTACCGGAGAGAAAGAGAGCATGCTAGAATCAGGTTGGCAACATACGGGGAAGAGTTACAGGTCGAGGAGTCAATAAAGAAGTCCAACAAGGAGACAATCGGAAAAGAACCACTAGTATTCACCGTTACGAATGATGCAGCCAATATTGACCAAGGTGGCCTAAAATGCTATAGATGCGGAGAGGTAGGACATTTCATACGTAATTGCTCAGTTCAAAACGAAAGACGACAGCAGGTACGGAGAAGATCATACAACCCTCGAGAAACCGGACATCTGTATAGAAACAATAGCCGCGATAACGCCAGTAATTGCGGCAATAGAAGATCATATGGTATTAATTACTACGTCAATAATGATCAAGCCTGTCGAGGATATCAAGGTAACTACAGGGGACACGAAAGAGGCAACACTTACCAGAACAGAAGAAGTCAGGGACATCAACAACCTGCAGATAGCCGAAGAGATGGATTAATGGGCCCACAGTATCCACAGCAACCATGGCAACAGGATCAACGACCATCTCAAAATCAACAGCAACATCATAGACAGCCAATATCAAACAGCAACAAATACAGCGACTACCTCAGAAACAGTGGCAGCAATAACCGTAACAGAGACAGCATCAGCAGAACTATTAACAGACTTGGTCAAAAAGGACACCCCTTTTGTATGCAAAGAAGCTCAGAAAAATGCATCCAAAACATTGAAGAGAGAATTATGCGAAGGATTTACGTGACAATATCCCGATTTTAGAAAACCGTTCATCGTCACGACAGATGTGTTACACTGAAAAAAAAGTTTTTTTATACCCGGAATACTGAATATTTTTTAGTCGAGTTTTCTTGTACGAAGTAAAAGTCAAGTTAAATATTTTATATTTAAGAAAACTGGTATTTTAAATCTGAGAATACCAAGTTTTTTAACAGGACTAAAACTAAATTCTATGTTACCATAGGAACCGTGACGGTGGCGCCACTATTTTGTCATTTCCCTCCAATCTACAGTGTACGCGTGTTTTTTAGTTATTACTTTACCTCGTGCCTGAGACTAGTTACCTAAATATTTATTTGTGTAAATTAAATAATTTATAAGGGGCATTCCACGCCAAATCAACCACTTTTGACTCTGACCCCTTTTGATTTGGCTGAAAGTTTACCATCATTTTCTACCCTATCAAAAACGTCTCTCATAATTTTTTCAAATTTTTTTACCCAACCAAAAAAAAGTCACGAATTTTTCAAAAAAACCGCTTTTTTATTTTTAAATTGCCATAACTTTTTCAAAAATTGGCTTATCGGGACCTTTTTTTTTCAAAATTTTTGTTATTAAATGCTCTTTTTGGAAAAAAATATAAAAAAATTATTCAAAGCTATCTTCATCGTTATTTTTAAAATTTATAGGAAAAAATCCGAATTTTTTGATGAATACCATTATTAGTTTCTTTTTTCTTTTTCTTATTCTAAACTTTGACATTTTTTACAGATATCATGAAATTTCCAAAAAGGTGTTTTTCCGATTTCTATTTTTTCTTTGCAATTAAAAAAAAAAAATTTTTTTCTTTTGTCGTATTTTTCATAACACCGGTCCAAAAATTTACGAGAATCCT